CATGGGTAAAGGAGGGAGGGAGGAGGTGCGTACGAGAATTGGAGAGGCGAGATGCGGTGGTGCGGCGAGTATGGTTTGCGGGAAAATATTGTCCGACCTCGGCGGATGAAAAGGATGGCGTTGGTGGACATGAGGAAGAAACGACACGCACTAGGTGCAAGTTGGGGACGCATCGGGAGGAAACACTGGAGGGTGATCGTGATACTCACCCTAGCAATTTTCCAGGGGGATTGATTCAATGAACGCGTTCTTATTGTCGGCTATCAAGGCAAACAAGCAGCACACCGCAACCGACCCACCAAGCAGCTACCCAGGTCAACACAGGTCGCCGTGCCAAAGCAACGCTAAGCCCAACGACGGCTCTCTCTCTCCTCTCCGTGATGGCGCCACCGTCCGCCTCGTCCGACAGTCATACCTTGCGGCCTCTAGGATGGCGATACAGAACGACTCCGTGAGGCTGCAGTTCAGGAAGATGTGCCCCCGGACGAGCACGCTCCGGACCCTTGCGTGGGGCACGGCTCCGAGGATCTCGACCCGGTCGTGCAGCTGGCTCTTCTCCCGCATCTCCTCGAGGAGGAGTCTCTTCGGGCCGTCGCCCCCGATGATGAAGTGGAGGTTTGGGTAGCGCTCGCACATGATCTTCGGGTCGGGTTGGGTCGGGCCGGGGAACAAAAAGAAGGCAGGAGACAAAGGGGAGAAGAAAAGAGCAGTAAAGAAGAAGGCAGCAGAGAGCAACGGGTAAGCACGAGGACGAGGGTTCGGACGGACAGGGTGCGACAGCGGAGGGGGGTAAGGGCCGAGACACCGCTTCTGACACATTTAAAATTGACGAGAGGCAAGCTGCTGGAGATGGGGCGAGGGTGCCACCTGTGCTCATGTCAATCACGGAGCACAGGACGGTGGGGATGGGGGCATAGACCGGACAGCTGTCAGCGCTTGGGGCAGTGCTCGCGCACAATCCCGCTGGACAATCGGAAGCCGAGCTAGAAGCACCCGGCAGTCTTGGACGTGGCCCGCAGGCGACGAGGACCTGGGTGCTTCTAACGCACAACACGAGAGAGCAGCCCCATCCCTGCAAGACGGCATGTCCTGATCTGTCGGTCGAATCGGCAGCCTCGCGAGGCGCTACCTGAACTTAAAGCAACCGCAAAAATACAGCAGTGCCGACAGACAGCAACTCATCGGCCAGGAAGGGTAAGTTTGCCCGCTCGTGCTTGCGCGCTTGACTTTGACTTTGACTTTGACTGGTTGTCTTCCACTGGGTACAGGCATCCCTCGGCGAGATGTACCTTTCGGCTCCTTGCCGTAACGGCTCTCTCTCTCTCTCTCTCTCTCTCTCTCTCTCTCTCTCTCTCTCT